GGAAACCTATGGAATGTCCCCACAATTCACAAAAACGTGTGTGTGTTTGTTTTTATATTTGTTTCTTTTTTTTCTCTTACTACATTCCCAGTGTCTGTGTATTGCATCATATCCTTCCATAAAGTGTAAGCATGAATAGTCGAGAGTAAAAATGAAATACTTTGTTTACAATAGCATCTACAGTACATTGAGACACGTTAGTGATGAGAGTCTGTTTGCTTTGATGAATTGATTCATTACATTTTGATTTGATTGTGTATTGAGATTATACTAAAGGCAAACTGAACACAGATGTGGGAATGATAAAACTGTGCATCTTAAGTTCACAGCACACATACACACACACATAAACACACACACGCAACTATGTTCTTGTTAGATGTGTGCGTTACAACCTTTGACTGCAGACCATCTGGGCTTAGACAGATAGACACGCACACACGCACAATTTCTTGAACCACATTTAGGTTGCCATAGTAACCAGGTGTCAGGATAATAGCAATCTATGGATTACGCACACACATAGGCTCTCACTCAGTCCCTGTCACTCACTCACTCACACACACACAAGCAAAAACATGCACACATTCAAGCATATTCACACGCTTAAACACACGTTCACACACACTGACACACCCACATACAAAAACACACTTACACAATCAAAAACAAAAAATATCATATTCATACTCACTTACACACACACAGATACACACACAGACAGGTTCACTCACACAAGAACAAATTCTCTTTTTCACACTCATACACACACACGCATATACACACAAACACGCTCACACACATGTACACTAATAAACACACACACACACACACATGCACACACGGATATGTACACATGAACACATACACACAAAAACACAGGCACACACACACAAACATGTACACACAAACAAACAGATGCTTAATCACACTCATATGCACACATAACCACACATACAAATATGTATGCGCACACACACACACACACACACACACACACATATCCACATATGCACTACATAAACACACACACACACACACACACACACACACATATGCACTACATAAACACACACACGTATGTACATACACAAACACACACACATGTGCACACATAAACACATATACATATATACTCTCACTTATATACGCACTCCATAAACACACACACACACACACACACACACACACACACACACACACACACACACACACACACACACACACACACACACACACACATATGAACTACATAAACACACACACGTATGTACATACACAAACACACACACATGTGCACACATAAACACATATACATATATACTCTCACTTATATACACACTCCATAAATAAACACACACACACACACACACACACACACACACACATGCACTACATAAACACACACAGGTATGTACATACACAAACACACACACACACACACACACACATATGCACACACACACATGCACACAAACACATATACATATATACTCTCACTTATATACGCACTCCATAAACACACACACACACACACACACACACACACACACTTCATAATTCAACATCAGTTAGATTGTATTGTGCTTTTGCTGATCCGTTATAGTAAAAAAGGATGTATACAGTGTATTTATCACACACTGAACACACACACACACACACACACACACACACACACTCATACCTGTATAAATGTGTTCAGATTTACTCATTACAGCCTGAAATAATACTCTGAGAACTGCTCATCTGATCTGCGTGTGTGTGATATAAATAATCATATTGTATTGATCGGATTCTGCAGCGGGTGCCCAAATATCGACAGTTTCTGCTCCACAGAATAATATTATCAGTTGTACAGTGAAATCCCAGCATGCATTCACCGCCGTGCTGATAGAATAAAGCGATGCTGAAATCTGGCGCTCTCAAACAGGCCTGTTGATGGAGGATTGAGTTATGAATAGAAAATATCGACAAGACATGATGGATCCAAACCAACAGAAAAGCTGCAGATTGAAGCTTTAGTGTTCACAGCTGCTGATGTGAGTGTCTGTGTTGACTGATACAGTTTAACACTGCAGTTATGAGAGTTATATATTGTCATAACATCATAATCAGTTATTAGCAAAGCTTCAATGACGATGGTATTGAAGTATTCTAGTCTGTATCATTAAATAGGACTAAATTAAAGTACCACATACATATACATTTATGTAATGCTATCATTTTAAAATGATAATTTTATATTATAATAATGATGCAAACAGTGGTTTAATATTAATAACATTATTTATTAATGATTCCCGGACGGCACGATAGAGAAGTGGGTAGCGTTGTCTCCTCACAGCAAGAAGGTCGCTGGTTTGAGTCCCGGCTGGGTCAGTTGGCGTTTCTGTGTGGAGTTTGCATGTTCTCCCCGTGTTGGTGTGGGTTTCCTCCGGGTGCTCCGGTTTCCCCCACAGTCAAACACATGCGCTATAGATGAATAGTGTAATTAAAATCC